CATACTGTTGTACCCAAGCATATAATGGAAAGTTTAGTGGAAGGAAAACGGTGCACAAGGTAAAAGAAAATGTCCTTCTATTAGTGCTTATGGCAGTCTAAAGCAGGGGTTGCTAAGAGGCGGCATCAGGTCAGGATCCAGACCGAAGTGATGTCTCACGTGGACCTGAAACTGACACCAAAACAGAAACAACCTAATATTTTCTTGAGCATTTTCTGGTTTACCGGCACAGCTTTTAGAGTCGCGCATCCAAGACAACCTATAGACAAATTGCATACGAGTCTGGCTATACCACGCGATACCACCCAAAAGAAATGAATGGTGAAAACTGATTGCCAAGACGGAGAGAGCAACACGTGGAGATAAAGGAGAAATACAGGCGTATGAGACAGAGGAAAGGACGGAGACTACAGATCAGGGAAACAGATATAAGTAGGAAAGGGACAAATGGCAGCCCCTAAAAAACTAAAAGTGGACAGTTAAAATAGAGCATTTATATCGGAGTTCTGGACCTTGGCATCATGAAAATATTGTTGGAATGAACCTCTTTAAGTTTTAATTAAATACCACTGGTCTAAAGCAACCCAGAGTTTTTCAACTTCTTCTTACTATATGATAGTGACAGCAGGCCACATGGGTTTAAAAAATATCCCAGGATCATTTGTTGGAGGAAGGAAGGAAGTGGTGATTAAAACAAGCCAGCTCTTCATAAAAAACATCATCACCAACAGCACAGCTAAAGAGGACAATAATCAAAATAGCAAGAAGAACATATCAATTAAGGTTTTTATGGAACCAACATTGGAGGGAAAAATATTGATATGTTTGAAACAGCAGAAGGAAAAATAACATCGATAATATCAGTTTGGGGGGTTTGCAGGTTTGATCAAGTATATATTTTTTTATTCTTAACATCATCTTAACATCAGATTTGTTTCCCAATAAGCAGTGCTAACACTAGTCTTATTTTACTGTGCATAAACAGACTACTTTAATGGTTTTATAATCTGTTTTAATCTTCTTCTAAACAGGATTATATGCTTTTTGGAAACTAGATGTTTTGATCTAATATATTTAAAGCAATAAATGCTTGCAACCTGTTACTCTGTATAATTGGTCTATGGAATATATGGTTGAATTTAGGAATATTTCAAGTAAAACCAATGTTTCCACCACTTTCTTCCTTATTAATTTATTCCTGGTTGTGATTTAAATGCTGCATGCCGGTAAAATAACAACGATTAGACAGATAAAGTCCAGTTTCCCCTCTCTCAGTAGACATCCAAGTGGTGAACTTTTGGCCTCTGGGGTGTCACTGTGTCAATATCCCACCACTGACAGCCAAATGTTTTAACAAATGCTGCAGCACAGATGTCTGCAGGGGGTGGACTGCAGCATGAGCAGGAAGGAACCTGTGCTGCTTCAAATGAAGAGGGTTTGTTTTTTAACTGATGTCATTTCCGATAGATATCTCAAACAAACGTCTGGTAACTAACGTTTTGGTTTCCTAAAGAAGGAACTGACCAGTTAAAGCTCTGAGAAGGGAAAGACTGTAACATTTGTAAGGGGCCACAGCTTTCTTTTAGTCATGAAAGCGCTTCCAGAGAGTGAAGTGGCATGAATTATCTAATTAGGGTTGGGGGGTTTTTGCATTGGATGCCCAATTAACACAGAGCTCTCTGAACCAGTTCAGATTGTTCACAGAAGTCCCTTCTTGGGAACAAAGAGCACTTTAGACCCAATTAAACTTTAGAGGTAATAAGAAACCCAAAGCTTATATAAAGCCTATGAAAGAGGAACACAACAACTAAAGGAGAAAAGACTTTGGAGCAGGTCTCAAGTAAACCTGAAGTCTAAATAAATCTCAATGAGTCAAATGGAAACAAGTGTCATTCATCTGTGGGAAAAGTGAAGTAATTTGACTGTGACTGATGGGAAGTAACACAGCTTGTTCTAGAGACGGTGCATCTCTAGAACAATTGGAAACATGGCATGATTGCATTTATGCCAATAAAATATCTTAAGTTTTTGGTCACGATAAGTATTTTGATTTATTGCGTGAGGGTTTCATTAATGTTGTTTACAAAGTCCTAAAAAATAGGCAAATTGTCAACATTTTTATTTCTACTTTTTCACCATTGGGGCATTGAGAAAAAAAAAAAAAAGAATATGATTAAGTGTGGTTAGTGTGGCATGTTTAGTCATATAAGTCATGCTTTTTTTATGCAACTGTTGTCCTGAAGAAGCCTATTTTAAATCAAATCAAGAGCAGTTTCTGTGATTGTGGGGCTATTATTGCTGAGACAGAAAGACTATAATGAAAAGTTGTTTTATCCTTCATTTTATTGTTATCCTGAAAATATTATGGGAAGATTTTAAGTCTATACCCCCATCCCTAATTTGGAACATTGTCTTTTTATCTTTTAGTAGGCGTCTACATCTTTTCCAGTCAGAAACAGACATGAAATTACTTTTGAAACCAAAATTTCAGGTGTGAGTATAATTTGGACCTTACCGCTATGTGTTAATCCTATTGGCTCATGAACTGACCATGCCTATAATTGCATTCAGAGCAAAAATGTAAAAGTTAAGGAGTCAGTTTAATCTGCATACATCACTGCATACAGTGAGGAGGAATAAAAAAAATAAAAATAAAACCTCAAAGATTAAATGGAGAGAGCTGCAGATTAGCTGCAGATTCTACTGCAACTGAGAGATGAATGTATTCTAAGGTTTTTCACATGTCCATTTTCATTTCACAATATAAGTATAGCATTAATGCTAAAAATAAAGAAAACTCTTCACATTGAGATTGAAAGCTGCACAGCTTAAGGCTGCCTGGTCACATTATCTCAAAGCAATGCAACTCAGAGGGAGGAGGAACGTTTCACTGGCAGTAAGTGAATGGAGGCATCAGGAGCCGCAGGACTGAAAAGACGCTTTTAACTGTAGGTACCAGGTTGATCATTAAGGTGGAAATATATCCTGGCTTTGGTCCACCGGAGACTCAAATCACACGACTGGTTGATGAACCAATAGGACTTCAAATGCAAAAAATAAAGCATTTCTGTCTCGCTGGATCTCACAAACAGGCACAATGTGGTTCAAACTGCTTGAAACTTCTACATTTAGAACAATTACAGGAACCGCAAACATGATGCAAATGTGATCTTAATGAGAGATATAAAGTTTTAACTGAAGCTGCCTGTCTTACTGTGGTGACAATCTGCTTCCATCCCACTAAGTATGGGAATGCAACCTGTAATCTTTATGGTTTCCACAGGTTACTCCATTTTGGGGAGACTGTTTTTTCACAACAGCAGTTTCTAAACATTATTTTTCCATCTGTAGAACAGAACTCAGAGCTCTGAACATTTACTGACTACAGATATTCAACCGTTAAAGCTTAAAAGAAAGCCCACCAGCTCGGAAGATCAATTTGAACAATTAGGGGGTAAATATGCTGCAGAGCAGTGTTTGAACAGGTGATACCCCCACATGAGTCAGGATGTTCATAAACATAAATGCTACGAAAATGTATTTTTTATTTCAAGAAAATGTATTTCAGAATATCAAATAAATCTTGATATCAGGGAAAGATTTTCTGGGTAATACAAAATTCCAGTTTGAAATTATTTAATTTGCTTTAATGAGACATTACTTATGATCTATCCAATTCAACCAAGCCCAGAGAAAAAAAGCAAAAATGCATTGCAGAAAAACATTATAATACAAATGTCAAGCATTGGAAGCGACAGGATGATGGTTTCAGGATTCTTTTTACTGATTCAGGACCTGTAGGACTTGATGGTACCATGAATTCTGCTGACTGTCCCTTTACCAACACTTGCGTAACAATATGATTAAAAGCAAAGAAACAAGCCCAAATCTGAATTGTTGGGGGAAAAGAAATATCATTTTGGAGCAACCTAGTCAAAGTTAGGACTTAAATCCGAATAGATGCTTTGACATGACCTTAAAAAAGTCAACCATGCCAGAAACCTCTCAACTCTGACTGAATTAAATCAATTCAGCACAAATAAAGGGAGACAATTCCTTCGCCATGATTTAAAAGACTCATGACAGTTGTTGCCACCAAAGGTTGAGGAATCATTTATTAGCTGTAGGGGACAGTGACTTCTCCTCATTTGAACAGGTTGGTTTTGGATATATTTTCCTTTAATAAATGCAAACTCAAAATTTGAAAACATTTTTCTTTTGTTTCTTTGCCTCTTATGTTGCTGTTTAAGGCTGGTCTGAAAAATTAAAATCTAACCTACAAATCTACAGGAAGGAAAATCCCTCCTTACATTTATGTACATGTCTGGAATGCAAAGATCTATTCCTCAGCTCTCTATATGATACTAACATATCTGCTCAGCCTTGAAGCCTGTCATTTCAGCTCCAAATTTGTCCAAACACCCTCGTGATAAGACCAGACCTCCAGACTACATGTCTGTGATTAAAAATTGACAAATATTATAGATATAAGATGGAAATCTGGGTTTGGACCTCATTTAAATTTAGATCCTGTAACCTAAAGAGGAAGCAACACCCATGATATTGACACAACATTGAGTCACACCAATAGGCATTGATATGCATGCCTGTTGCTTGGCGTGAATCAAGGCAGATGAAAGAGGAACTGACTGGAATGATAACTTAGATCATTCAGGCGCCTTATTTTGCACCAGAGTGATGTTTAATGATGAGGCTGCTACATCAGATAATGGACTGAGTCAAGCCAAAAAAAAAAACTCCTCCTGCATTTCAGGTTATAGACCAATGCTTCAGTTGCATCTCTGGACGTCTAAATAAAGATCTATTTATGCTGCTGTCATGGTAAATAAAGCAAATTATTTCAATGTTTTTTTAGGAAAATGCAATCAAATGCATCCTTCTGCTCTCTCTGCATGCAGACAAGAAAGAGAATCAACATGCACACACTTTGTTATTCTCCCAGCATCTCACTCAAGGCTGTCTGCATGGGATCTGCTTACCATCCACAGCCCTGGAAGGAGCCACCATCTCAAAACTGTGCAGTGATCCCAGGAAAAGCAGTCCTGCCGCCAACACGTTGGCCGCGATGCGCATCATTGTCTGCGGTGAAGGCTGCGCATCAACCCCTGAGCGGCTGTCAGGCTGCGGGGCGCTGCGCGCAAGGCGAGGAGCAGGAGAACCGAGCCCGGGGGAGGAAGATGCTCCACAGTCTGCGCAGTCTCTGATGGTGATCTAGTGTCAATGCAAAGGAGGTGAGGCTTCTCCCAGCCTGCTTCTGAGTGCAAGGAGAGCCCTGCCACAAAGGCTAGCAGGCTGAACTGAGCATCTAGCTAATAAACCCCGGTCTGCAGCTTAGATTGTGCAGGAGAAGCAGCGGGGATGGCGCCTGTGATCAAGCAGTTTGTCCGTCTTTTGTTCTCCGGTGAAGGAGCCACAGGGGGCGGGGAGTGCATGCATACAGACACGGATCAAATGCTCCTCTCCTCCCCACCAGCTCTGCTGCCGCTGGCCGCAGATTGAGCCTCTACCCTGGAGCTCAGTCTAAGTCTGACGTCGGAACATCAGCTGGCCCTCCTCCTCCTTCTCCCTCCTCCTCCTCCTAGAGAGCAATGCTTTTATTCCCATTCAGAGCCCCTTATTTAGTTAATTTAAAAAAACATTGATGCATGCTTTTCAGAATTTAATGAGCAGATTTTTATGTGGACATACCTTACCTCTTTTGTATCTGTTCCTTCCTGTTAAAAGGGAGTTTTTCCTCTCCACTGTTGCTATTGCATTCCAGTCAATGAGTCCAGGCAATCAACTGGTTTTCCTTAGATAGAAAACTTTGAATCAGTTTGACTGTATGATCTGGTGAACTGTAAAGCGCCTTGAGATGACATGTGTTGTGAATTGGTGCTATGTAAATAAACTGAATTGAACTGAACTTATGTTCCTTGATTAGTGAAAACACATGTTAATGATGCCTAAAGGAAATAGATGATTTTAGATTGAGGGTGAAGCTATAGAGATAGAAAATCAGAATCAACTTTATTGCCAAGTAGGACTTAAAAACCTTTTTTGTCACTTTATATGCACAGTGTATACAACACGAAATTTGCATTTACAAGGAATTTGACTTGTTGTTGATGGTGCTGACAATTTACAAATACAGGATCTATATTTATATACAATATAAAAAATACAATATACTATATATAATAAGGCTATATACTATATACACAGTAGGCTTGCCTTAATGTAACGCAAGAGGTGTGGAGATGGTCTCTGGGCCTTGTTGATAAGGCTGGTAGCGGATGGGAAGAAACTGTTTTTGCGGAGTGAGGTTTCAGTCCTGACGGACTGCAGCCTCCTGCCAGATGGAAGAGACTGAAATAGTTTGTGGCTGGGATGCGAGGGATCAGCCACAATCTTCCCCGCATGCCTCAGAGTCCTGGAGGCATACAGATCCTGGAGAGATGGAAGATTGCAGCCAATCACCTTCTCTGCAGACTGGATGACACGCTACAGTCTGCCATTGATCTTGGCGGTGGCACCAGCGCACTAGATGCTGATGGAGGAGGTGAGGATGGACTCAGTGATGGAGAAGTAGAAGTGTACCATCATTGTACTTGGCAGGATAAATTGTTTCAGCTGCCACAGGAACATCCTCAAGCAGCATTAAGTTTTAAATCCCGTTGTTTTCTAAATTAAAAGAAAACTACTTTAATGCAACCAATCAAGATATTACTGAACTAATTACTGAACTAATAGACTGGGCAAAGAGAGCATTGATCAGAGGGATTGTGCATCAGAGAGAATCTATGAATTGATGAAATCTAGTAAGAAAACCAGTAATCGAGTTTGAGCCTGTGAGAAACAATACAAGGATGCAAAAGATGGTCAAGCTAATGCTCAGTATTATCTTACATGCATCCCTTTCCTATAGTGAACCATGGATGGGTTCACTGTAGGTAAATCGTAAAAGAAAATCTAGAGGAGCTAAAGACCCACTGCTATGAGAGCAGTTTACTTTGCAGTAGAAAGACAAACCAGCTCCAGATAAAATACACATAGATAGATAGTTGCTAACTAGCTGGCCACAGGCCATCCCCTCCTCAGCTCCCGATGCTTGGACAGAGGCCAAGCTGCTGTTGTGGTTGCAGTTGATGCCATTAGTTTTAGCTGCTTCCCCTGATCATAGAAAGAGTAAACCATCCAGGAATGCAGCTGGCAGTAATGGAGTCACTGTTCAGCTCTGTAGCCACTTCCATTAAACATTAAACACAGGATGCTTTAGCTGCTGGGCCAGGTTGGAGAAGTATCGTCAGGTGAAAGACTTGGTATTTGCCTGACAAATATTTGGTCTTTATCACATGTGAGTATGATGTTTGTTTAAGAATCACAAAGTCATGAACACTTAGTATTTGTCTTATCTCATTTTTAGATGATTTGGTGCCAGTGTGTCGGGAGCATTTTGCACTTTTTGACAATCGTGTGGAGTTTTCCTTGAAAAGGGAGAGAAATGCTTTATCATTATAGATTATATAAAAGAGACCTTCAAGTACTGCCTTATTTTCTGCCTGGTTATCAGCATGTGAGCTTTTGTAGTATATTGAGACATTCTTATTTATCTTAGCTCATTGTAAATAGGAAACACTGAGTGTAACACATAATGATAGACAGAGGATAATCTGTATGGTAAAAAATGTAATGCATTTAGCTTGGACATAAGGACTTTGAAGGGAGATTAAGATCATACTTACCTATCAAATGCACTGTTCAGATTCTAAAATAACTTTATCCATGCATCTAAAAACACTACAATTAAGAATAGCTGTTTTAAAAGACCCTCTTTTTCCATATGTGGGGGAAATTAGAAGCTAACCAGTGGCTTCTCTACTGCAGCCTCAAACGGTTTCCCTGAGTACAAAAACTAAAGTGGTTGGTTATAAATTATATATTGCATTTTTTTAGTCTAACCCTTAGATGCACCAGGAAATGCATTTCTTCTCCTGGTTTCAGCTAGCACTGATACTGTATTGAACTATCAGGACATCCTGCAGATTCTCCTAGATGTACTTTTAGATTAATTGCTTTTTTCATTCGCGTTGTCAAATCTCTTACAAAAAAGAGATGATTTCCATCCCAGTATAACATGAAGTCGAATGACTTTGGTTAAACGTCTTGAAACTAGGCAGAGACATAAGAAGTGTGTCCTCTGAAATAAATAATGGAACAAAGGTTGCTCATCTTTTACTGATTGTAAAGATGACAGTGTTGATCTGAAAGCTAAATTCAGCATCAAAATAACAAGAAAACAGCATACAAACTGCTTTTATCACAGTAAAAACAACAAAATATTTCACTACATGTAACATTGAATCTATGTGATTTATGAGTTTCACTTCCTGAAATTAGTCACACATGATATGAACTTTTTCATGTCATAAAGATAATAAAATAATTATTGTCAAAATAGCATTACACTTTTAAACCAATAAACATGGCTATTTCTATATCAGTAAATAAGGAAATAAATATATATATATATATATATTATATATGTGTGTGTGTGTGTGTGTGTGTGTGTGTGTGTGTGTGTGTGTGTGTGTGTGTGTGTGTGTGTGGAATAATAATAATAATACATTAAATGTTTTTCATTGAAATATATACTGTAAAAGAAAAAAATCAATGCATCTAAATATTAAATGAAAAAAAAAATACAAAATAAAAATAGATATATAGGATAAACAAAATTATTGAGGTCAAGGTAAAAGTCAGATCACAAAGAGTCTCATAACTTGGGGATTCAAACATCAGTACACTGATTTGCTTTAACATGTTCCTTCTTAAGATATATCGAAATAAAAACCTCCAAGAACATTTTTTTTCGCCTCTATCCTTTATATTCCAACAAAAAGCAAAGAGTGATCATTTTTCCAACTGAATCTGAGCACATGTAGCATTGGCACAGGGCATTCTAGTTTCACAATTACGGCCCACTCAAACAGCTTGCATAGAAACTCTAACCAAGGACAAGGACATAAAAAAATCTAGCGACTGCCTGTTGCATAAGCTCTGCTCGTATAATGATTATACTTTTCTTTCTTTTTCTATTTCTCTATGATATTTGACATTTCTAAATACTGTACAGCTATATATTTTTTTTTACAAATGTAAAAACACAGGGAGACCGATTCAAAAGTACATGTTCTAAAATAACAGTCCAGGGATGTCCACGTTCAAGAATTGTAGGACTGATTGATGCACAAAACATCAAACCAAATAGAATAGAATAGAGTAATCCTTTATTACTCCACAATGGGGGAAATGTGGATGATTTCAGTGTCAAACACAGCAACAACAACAAAAAAATACTATAAAGGGATCAGAAATTGTATATTCCGATCATACCAAATGTACAGGAATGTGCAAAGAAATATGCATGAAATAAGTAGCTGTGCATGAAAAACAGCAAGATAGGATTCAAAAAATACAAAAACAAAAAAACCTGGCAAAGATAGAGATACCGGTAAAAAACAAAATCTGCATTAACACTACTTAGTGCACTTAGGGTAGAGTAGTTTGTCACTGAATGAGCTTACTAGCTCTGCAAACAGATTATTGCAAGAGGTAGGAAAACCCTGTTAAAGAATGATTTTTTTTTTGCTAGAGTCCTTCTGTCCCCCACCACTTGCACTGGGTTAAAGGAGCATAACAGAACAGAGGTGGCTTACTGATGAGCTCATCTAATGGTTTCCCCTGAGCTGCAGATGAGCTGCTGCACCAATATACCACGATATAGAGGATTCCTGATTCCACCACAAAGTCAAAGAGGGTCTTCAGGAGCAACCCCCTGTACTCCGAAAGATCCCACACGCCTGGTCTGATTCATTCTGTAAAGAATTATATCTCTCTGTATTCCATTTAGGGAATAAGAAATGAAGAAATGCTTTGAAGGGACTTGAGTGGGAATATTTGGAAAAACGTGACTCCTGGAAAATATGCCCAGCTCTAATATGTCTACTTCAGACTCTGTGGTCAGACAGTCTAGAGATCCTCTGACGTCCTTTCACAGCCTGTCTCTCTAAAGAAAATAATATTTAGCAACGTAGTTACATGCCAAACAAGCTAAAAAATGTTTCCCTCATCAATGTAAAGGTTTTGTGCAAAATATTTTTCTTTTTATTATAATATTAGGAGGTGGACTTGGCACACATTCCTACGTTCTTCACAAAAGAATAGAGTTATGAAACCCAAGCTCACCCGGCACTCCTCCTTATCTCTCTAATCCCTTTCAAACACACAAGGACACTTTAAATAGGCCCTTTTATTGGCCTGTAATCACCTCACATCATCTTCTTTTGGCCATCTGGCCTCAAAAAAACAGGCCTGTCGCCTTTAACTATCATGTTTGGCAAGATTCTTTTTCTTTTGACCCTGAGAAACAGACAAGTTTGTTGTTTTTGTCACAAACATGATTTTATGGTTAAGTACATTTGGAAAGCATTAAATATTAAATTGTG